GGGGGGTCAAATCTCCTTGTCACTCAGGTTACCAGGTGAGGAGCTGGGCTTCCATAACATCCAGGTGACCAGAAGGACATGGGGTCAGTCTCCATCACATCTACATAACCACATGGGGGTATGAGCCTCCATGACACCCAGGTGACCCAGGATGGGAGGATATGGGTTCATGACGCAGACGATTACAGGTGGGGAAATAGATGTCCATTACCCCGAGGAAGACCCTGTGCGAGCGAGGTGGGTCTTCTCTATACTTACCCCGGCACACTCACTGAGGGCATGGTCTAGACTGGTAACAGAGGGCCTAGCAGGAAACGAACTGAGCTTGCCTTGGGCCAAGTCCACCCCGTCTGCACACGTGGCAGTGGGAGACGATGAGGAAGGCCAGCCCTCACAGCCACCCACAGCGTCTTGGAGCTGGACACTTCCCCAGGGCTGTCCTTTGCCTCCCTCTCCTCCCGGTGCTTTGTCTCATATGGAGTTCAGTTCAGAGGAGCCGACTACCTTCTGGGCCACTAGCCAGGATGGGGAGGGGCAAGCGCAGCCTTAAATGGTGCAAAAAGCCAGGGTGTAGTGAGGGTGCAGAGTTCAAGGTGAGCCCCAGGAACCTGCTGAAGACCTCTGCTTTCTCCTAAGCTGGCCGGGTTTTCAGGTAGGCTGGCCATTTGGGGACAGACTGATGTCCTAAATTCCCTATCTGTAATCCTGGTATCTATGGTGACCCTTAATCCCCTAGAGTTAAACACAGGTTGAGCTGAAGCCCTTCCTGTATGTAGGCCTTAGAGTGGCCTCTTCCTGAATGTCCTCCAACCTTGGGCTACTAACTGGCAAAATCCCCACCTGCGACTTCCTTTCCTAGGTCCCTGTCAAGACCAAAGGCAAACATGTGATCTTTGAGCAGGAAACAGAGAAGTAAGTGCCCCAGAAGGCAAGCATGGGCTGGTGCACTGGGGGATGGAGAACGTGGCTGTTCAGAAGCTTCTAGAAGGAGGTGATATTCAAATCCTACAGATCCCTCCTTGGGAGTTCCCTCCCAGGAGCCCTAGGGCATCTCCCAGGGATCCCTAGCCATCTCCCAGACTTAGCTTTCCCCTCAGCCTCCAATGGACTAAGTTTTAGAACAGCATAATATATTACCTCCCTTGCCCTTGAGGACTCAGCCCAGGGAAGGCTCTGACTTCTCAGATCTCAACCCTGCACAGAGTGATTTAGAGACGCTAGAGGCACAAAGTCATGTACTTTTCCCAGGTCTTACAGGGCAGCTGATGAAGTGGGTGGGTATGGAGTGGCTTCCCAAGCCCAGCAGCGGCCTGGGGGTAGAGAATGTCTTCTAAAGTGGGGCTGGGCATGTCTAACTCTTCCCATCTGTGCATGAACCTTACCCTACTCATGCTGGCAGGGCCCTGGGTACCAAAGCCATGGAGCCCCTGGAGAAGGACAACCAGTTGGGGTTACTGCTGTCTGTGCCCAAGCAGAAGCTTGCAGTTGCTGAGGAAAAGCGTACAGGTCAGAGTGGGGGCCAAGGCCACATCATGGGATCTATTTGGACAGAAGGCTAATGGGGAGGAGCTTGTGAGGGAGACTGAGGCCACACCTACTCTGCCTCTCTGCAGATGCTGTGACCTTGGTGGAGACTGAAGAAGACATCCCGAGCCGTTTTTGGAACCCTCTTCATGGTCCAGAACTGGATCTTGACAGCATTTACCATCCGAAGTATGAGGAGGTTCAGGATGAGGAAGTGCCCCTGATGAGGCCCATGTTATATCGCCAGGTGCTCCAGGGGCCAGAGGAGGACCTTGACCACATCTTCCACTCCCTGGAGGACTCCTAAGAGCCCTAACCACTCTCCCACTCCTGTCCTGAGGCCCAGGCTGTTGTGACCACTGACTCTCCCCAGCTAGCAAAAAATAAACACCCACAAACAGGTGGAAGCCATGAGTATCTTTAAGACCAGCAATCCTGGGGCACAGAAGCTGTGTCTAGGAGGAAGTATCACTGCCCTAGCTATGCTCTTCAAAAGCTTCCTATGGGTCATGAGGTCTGGCTGACTCTCAGCTCATGAACAGCTCTTCTCCTTGGGCCCATCTCTCCACATGTAGGGATGATAGGATAGGTATGTCAGCAGTCAAGTATGGGGACCAGTTAGCAGCCACAGCCACAGCAGGAAAACGAGACCTATCCTGGAATTTCCAGAAGAGGCCAAGAAAGGAAAGGAAATGTTTGATGAAGGGGTGGGAAGTTGGGTGGGACTGAGGTTGATGAGTGTGTGGGTACACAGGTACACAGTTTCACATGTGTATAGGAACACACATGCATAGATGCACAGAGATGTATATAGGATGGTGCACATGTGTATAGTTATACAGGCACATAGGTACGGTGGTGGGCAGGTACATAGCTTCATGTGTACACAGGTACAGAGGTGTGTGGCTATGCATGTTCATGGGTACATAGGCAGATAGATACATAGGTAAACAGATGCACACATACATAGGTGCTCAGAAGAGTGAGTCAGGATACATACTTTCTGTCCTACTTTTTTGGGCAGCACCTGGATTTTTCTGGGGTGCCTGTCCACATGGCCTCACTCAGGCCTGAGCACCTAAGATGAATTACCTCACATGTGGCATACAGGTACTGGGGTAGTCACCCCACTCTTGCAGTGGGAGGCACTAGGGACCACAGAGTCACTCATTTTCCAGCTCCAGTAGCTCAGGCAGAACAGACAGCTTAAGGGAAGCCATCAGCTCTCCATCCCAATGTACCCAAACCCCATTCAGCCATGTAGGCTACCTGTCAATCACACGTACCCTAGAACTCCATGCGTGTCTCATGCCCCTACTCCTCCAAGGACATGAGTGGGAGGAGTGAGGGTTCATGTACATCCTGGCCTCTAAGCCCCATGAAGCAGGAGCCATCTCACAGATGAATCAAGGGTCTTCATATTACCTGAGTCTACCAGCCCCACATTGCAGACGGGTCCACGTAACAGATAAACCTAGCGCCCCCACATTACAGTCCAGCATTCCAAGTCCAGGGTCCTGAAGATGCATAGCAAAGCTCTGACAGTGACCTCAGGGCACAGCCCCCATCTGAGGGTATTCCACCTGTCATCCTGGTTAGAATCTGAATCTAAATGAATCTATTCACAGTCCCTACTCAGAAGAGCAGAGGTGCAAAAACCCCGTCGAGGTCCCAGGTAGCACCAAATCCCACATAAAGACACCACAGCTGCTTTCCTCTCCTACTTTGTCACTCCTGGCCCCTACTCTAGTCCTGGGAACATTCAGGGCAGGTCTTCCCCTGCATGGCTAATTCCCTCTGGAAGCACTCTAGACCTACCCCAGGTGCTTATTAATTTTCCAGGCACTTCCCAATCCAATTGTGTTGCATTACCACCAAATCTTTCAATGTCACTCCTCCTTCAAGTTAGAGACTCAGGTGGTCAGGAAGCAGTGCCCAGTGGTCACTCTGCCCAGCGTCCATGAGTTCAGATCCATGGTCAGAATTTGAGCTGTCCCACCTTCATATTCCCTGAATCTAAGCAGAGCGCCTACAGACGCTGGGGTTCCAAGGATCCAGTGTTTTACTGGGGCCAAAAGCATCTTCTGGGTCAGGGTAGTATTGTGGCCGGGTTTCTTTCCAGCTTTGCCTAAGCTAGGAACCTCTGTGGGCATTTCCTCCCAAAGGGCAACTAACTGGGGCTGAAGAGCCAGCCCAACAGTTAAGAGCACTTGCTGCGTCATAGGGACTGTCTACTCACCCGATGGATTTTTAGTTGTTTGTAGCTTTTGGCTAGTACAGACAAAGCTGTTATGAACATTCACCTATAGTCTGCAGACATGTGGTGCAGACATGTCTAACCATTCAGTAGGGAAACTGGTTCAGGCCCGCCTAAATTCCTCCCCCACAATCTTGCTCTTTCTATCTGCGATTCTGAGCCCCAGTTGATCCTTTACGACCTGGGACAATTGAGGATTCAAAGTTGGGAGCAGTTAGGTTGTATCTGAGTTCCTGAGCTTAACACAACTGCTCATGCATTGGCAGGGGTTACTCAACCTGCCAAACATTGGCATGAGATCCAGGCCACATCCAGACCTGTCTGACCTTGAACTAGGGAAGTCAGCATTACCTTCCCTTGCAGCTGAGCATCCTCCCATCTAAAGTGTTCAGCCCACTCTGCCAGCTGCCTTCTGGCCTAGAACTCAGAGATTGGTCCCAGTCAGGAGTCACTCTGTGTTGCAAACCAAGTAGGCAATGAAGAATCTCCCAACTCCCACAGAGATCCAGTGCAGCCCCTGCAGCCCCGCTGTGCACCCGAACCACCATCAACCACCAGCCTAGCTCTTTGCCCAGGTGCGGGCTGCAGCCCCAGACTCAATCCAGCTCTCAGGTTCCTACCCAGGCCTAGCAATTGCCCAGCTCCCAGCCCTCAAACCAGCCCTATGCTTCATTTCCCATGTAGATTTTCCACATGAGGATTCGGCAAGGTTGGGTAAGGGGTGCCTATTTGGAAACTAATGGCCCCTCTGGAACTCACCACAAGACACATTTAAATGTACAAAAACTTTAAAGATTGACAGTGATTATCCTCTCCTCTCCACTCAATTTCACAAATCAGGGAAGGGGGAAATTTCTGCCAGGGTCAGCAGTCACTCAAGTTCTGCCAACTTTCTGAACCCCAGGCTGGGGTCCAGGTCTGGGTGCTGCAAAGGGGTGGCCTGCTGATTGGGTTCAGGTGGTCTTTATGAGTGTTCAAGGTCAAGCGTGCCCTTCTTGAGGATAATGTTTCCATAGAGCGCCATCTCCCTGCCGGAGGGTCAGTGTGCTGAGACTCTAACTTCGCCCATTTCTGCTTCGATCTGCTACCCCCTCCCCCATCCAAATGAACTCTGCTACCCAAATCCCTCCTGTCTTCCTGGGCAAAGCAGAGGTGGAGGCAGTTCCCAGGGACCTGGATAAGGACTTGCCCAAGTCACCTGGATGCAGCCAAAACTCACCCAGTTGCAACAACAGCAAATGCCTTTTTTGCACGTTCATAAAATTCAAATCTCTCTATCTTCATCAGGGCTTTCTGGAAGACAAAATGGCATGGTTGGAGGGACCTTGCCCAGAAATCCTCTGGAAGGATTCCTGAGTTGAGTACCCCATCAGGAAATAACTAGGAGGCAGCAGCAATGATCTTGGAGGCTCCATTCCTCTGGTTCTCCTGATGCTGGGGTCTCAGGGTATCAGGGACAAGGGGCATCTTTTATATCCCTGTCTGAGCCTGTGATGGACAAGGTGCCTGCAGAATGTGGACTCAGCTCAGCAAACCTAGAGCAGCAGTTGTCAACCTTCCTAATGCTACCACTCTTAAATACAGTTCCTCATGTTGTGGTGACTTCCAAACATAAAATTATTTTTGTTGCTACTTCATAATTTTGCTATTGTCATGAATCCTAATGTAAATACCTGTGTTTTCTGATGATCTTTTTGGGGTTATGACTCACAGGTTGAGAACTACTGCCCCAGACCATCTAAACTGTCCTGGAAGTCCTCTGCTCAGGACAGCGGTTCTCAAGTTGGTCCTGCTCAGGCCTGCCAATGATTCCTTTAGAAGATGGATATGTCCTCTGCCAGGCAGGGATGTGGGCTGTGTGATATGCAGACCTTAGCAAGAACCAAGTGGCAAAGAGCAAGATTTAGGGAGAAGGTACACATCCATAGAAGGTCAGAGGGCAGCCCACCTGGCATTCCACAATCCTCTGGTTCAAATGGGACCAGCTCCCCAGCAGACAGGCCAGGATTCTGAGAGGAGGAGGAGGAAGAAGAGGAGGAGGAGGAGGAGGAGAAGGAGGAGGCGGAGGAGGCTTGGGCGAGGAGGAGGCTGGAGGGGGGTGGCCACAGGGCTCATTAACACTACTTCCATCTCCACTCCCATGATTCACTCTTCCTGATCCTGCAGGAGACAGAGGGTCTCACGATTGGGGCTGCACTCACCTTGCAGCCAGCTTTGAGCAGAAGGGATTCATAATGATTCCATATGGGGGTCTGCAGGCCCCTCTCCTTGTCACTGGGCACTAGCTCCATGACAGCAGCCTGGGGAGACAGGGGTCAGTTCTGTGGCCCTAGGTACCTCCAGGGCTCCTCTGAGGGAGGTGGCCCTTTGGGGACCCGCAGTCATATGAAGTCTGGCAAAGACCAGCAGCCCAGCTTTTGTTCCTCACCGGGCTTTCCACATAGGTGTCCAGGGGCAGCAGTGTCAGCACAGCCTCCAGGATCTGTGGGATGTCCAGGCCTGGGAGGGCAGAGCTGGGGTCAGGCTTCTGCTCTCATCATGACCTATGACCCCACCTGTCTAAAACTTTCATTTTTGGGTCACAGTAAGCAGCCAGTCAACAGGCATGAGGGACAGAGGTCACAGAACCAGGACCGGGTCCACCTGTGGCGCTCACCGTCCGCTCGGATCTCTACAGGCCCGCACTGGCAGATGGAGGAGGCAGGGAAGTTCGCATCTGCTAGAACTGAAGGGAGAGAAGGGAAAGCCGTTTCCAGTCAGCGCGGTTCCCCCTCCCAGATGGTCACCTCACATATGCAAAGCCACACATCCTTGTGTATTATCAACAGTCCACCATCTGGGATGTCCCCAAGCCCGACCAGTACATACCTCCCACTCCAGCAGCGGGGACAGATCATGGGCCAGCCTATTATCCCCCTTTAGATCACTAGGGGAAAAAGACACTAGAAACGAGGCAATGAAACCAGTCTCTGGGAGGAGGAACCAATAGTTTCACCCCAGCCTCAGGCTGTCCCACCTTGCCCTAGGGCACCAGGCCAGGGACAGATAATACAACAGACCTCAGGGCAGCCTGAAAGGCCACGTGGGAGATCTGGGAACTATCCTGCTGCTGAACTTGGAACCTGCTTTGCCCTTTACATAGTTCTGTGGCCTGGGCCAATGATAGGCCTCAGCTTAGCTCAGCTCTTTCCTGAAGCAGCTGAATGGCTTCCTGTTCTGAAGGGTAAGGTGACTATGGCAGTGTCCCCGGCCTTTCCTGGAGCCTGCCGTTCAAGGGCTCCCGGTGCGGATCGCGGATAGCTCCCCTGCTAGAGGTCCGCGCTGCCGGCTCGCTAAAAGCTCACCAATCTCGTCGCCGTGCCCCATCCGCGCAAGCGCAAACAGCAACTCCGGAGACAGCACCTTCGGGATGCCCTTGAGCGCAACCATGGCCGCAGAATTGGTGGGAGGCGGGAGTTGTGGCCAGGGTGGTGCCACATGGATTGGGGCGGGGCCAGAGGAGAGGCGGCTGCAAAAGCTGGGTAGTTGTGTTCGGCCCTCGGTTCTGCTGTGCAAAACTCTGAGGCCTGGCAGATTGTGGGAAAGTCCGGAAAGTAAGTCCGTGTGGCAAGGACAAAGATGCCAGAGAAGAACCTTCGAAAACTGATCAGGCACGGCCTTGGTCCTAGGATGTCTGGTGCTACAACCCAGATGCCCGGGATATGGCCACTGTTGCCCAACTTGGTGGCAGTGATGGGTGAAGGGTGAGAGGTAAACTTTCTGCTTCAGTTTGTGAGTGGCTTCATGGCATTAGGGCAAATACACGAGGCAAGCCACTATAGAGGCAAAACCAAATCAAAACCCCTAAATTGTACTGGGGCCAGAGACCACATAGTTTATAAAATAGCTAAGAGCTTCACCAGGGCTTGGGGTGGGGGGAGCTCCTTTTTGCGACAGTCTGCATACATCTCATTGTCTTGAACTCTCTGGAGCCAAGGGCCAGCTAGAAGCTGGTGGCTGTGGGTGGGTTCCTGTCCTACCAGAGTGGAACCAGTGAATTTATCACATACAGGTCTGGGTGTGCTATGCTAGGCACAGGGTTGAGACAGAATTAAACCAATGAGAGGTTGGAGAAATGGCTCAGTGGGTAAGACCACTGACTGCTCTTCCATAGGACTGGGCTTTGGTGGCTCCTAACCATCTGTAACTCCAGTTTCAAGGGATCCATTGCCCTCTTCTGGCCTCTGAGTCACCAGGCACACAGACATAAGTGCAGGGAGAACATTCATACTTTTTTTTTTTTTTTTTTTTTGGTTTTACAAGACAGGGTTTCTCTGTATTGTTTTGGAGGCTGTCGGTACAGCCTGGCCTCCAACTCACAGAGATCTGCCTGCCTCTGCCTCCCGAGTGCTGGGATTAAAGGCGTGCGCCACCACCACCCAGCTCATCATACATTTTTTTAAAGTTAAAAACAAACAACTAATGAATTGATTACCTCAGTTTCAAGGTTTTCCCTATTGAGTGGTCACCTCCTTTGCTTGTTCATTCTAGACTGTGGGTCAATCAATGACTAACACACACTTCCCTGTGTGTCCAGGTTTAGCAAGTGAACACTTGGAATGGTGAGATGGTTCAATGGCTAAGAGCACCCACATGGTGGCTCACAACTACCTGTAGCTCCAGTCCCAGGGAATCCAATGTCCTCTTCTTGGCAGGGGGTGTGGGTGTGGGTGTGGGTGGGCTTCTTCGACAGGAGAAAGTCCCTGAGACTCAGCTTCCAGAATAGGGAGTTTTGATGGAGAGATAGTGTGTAGGGATCACGCCAGTTACCATGGTCTGGGCTGTATGTTAACTTCACAAAACATACTTGGATATGATGTATGTCTTAATCTGGAGTGTAGGCCTCAACTACCACCCCTCAAACCCTCCAACCCTGTTGATTTTGAGTCAGGGTCCCACTATGTAGCCCCAGATGTCCTGAAACTTGCTATGTAGACCAGACTGGTCTTGAACTCAGAGATCTTCTGGCCCCTGTCACCTGAGTGCTGGGATTAAAGACTTTCCTCACTAGGTGCATTTTATGCCAATGTCATGAGGTTCAGATGGAAACTGCTTCCATATGGATCTCCATTCTCACACTGACACGTGCTGAGGGTGCTGCAGAACGGCCCAGATGTCACACTGCCACAGCAAGTAGGCAGTCATTTCCCCACACTGAATGAAGGTCTGGGCGTAGCAGAGCCTGGGACCCTGGCCACGTGCCACTGAACTGCTAGGGCTAGTGTCCATTGTAGCCCCGTGAGAACCTGGGCACTGTAAATATCTATTACCTCGTTAGGGATGGTGGAATACAACTGTAGTCGCAGTTATCTGGAAGGCGAAGCAGGACTGTTTGCACCCAGGAGCTCAACACAAATACATATTGAGAAATATATTGAGATGGCTTCAAAAAGAAATATCTACCATATTACTGTGAGAATGGCATGTCTTCATCTCAGTGTAAAACAGGCTTTTCTGCTTTTGTTTTTTCTTCCTCGAGACAGAGTTTCTCTGTTTATCCCTGGCTGTCCTGGAACTCTGTAGACCAGGCTGGCCTCGAACTCACAGAGATACGCCTACCTTTGCCTCCCAAGTGCTGGTATTAAAGGTGTGGTCCATGTGCAAGTGAAATAACAAAAAAGAACAAATACTCTAATTTCACTCTTGAGGAACCTGGAGTCATCACATTCTCATAGAAAGTAAAACTGCGGGTGCCAGGGGCTGAGGGGTGGGGCAGGGAGCCAGCGTCTAACGGAGACAGCTTTAGCTTGGTAAGATGAAGTTCTGGAGACTGACTGTGGGGATGGTTGCCCACTGATGAGAAAGTGCTTGATGGAGTACTCAGATGTGGTTAAGATGGTGAAGTAAAAACACAAACGACTGGGCGGTGGTGGCGCACACCTTTAATCCCAGCACTCTGGAGACAGAGGCAGGTGGGTCTCTGAGTTCCAGGCCAGCCTGGTCTATACAGTAAGTTCCAGGCAGCCAGGGTTACATAGTGAGACCCTATCTATAAGAAAGTAACAGCATCCCCCCACAGAAGAAAATAACAGCAATGATAATTAGAAAATCATTCATTCTCTATAGACAACTATAGGTGAATTGAAATTAAACTGAAGTAGTCACTCTAATTGAATTATTGTGCACTTGGAATCATCAGACAGTGTCATGTCCCACTTGAAGTCACACCCTGAGCTGTGTACTGTTGACACTGTTGACAATGCACGGGGTATAGGTGGTTCAAGCACATACCTGCCTCTGAAGTGAAAAAATAAAAATAAGAAAAACCAAGACACCTTGAACGCTTCCCAGATTTCTGATTTAGAAGACTGTGAGAGATCGACTTCCAACACTGTGAAGGTTGCAGCCACACCACAAGGACCTGAGCTGTGGCCACAGCCCCAGAGCCTTTGGTAGGAACTGTGGCCTCCACTACCCTTTAGGACAATTCATTTGCCTCTCAATCGACAGCCTGAGCTTTCCTCTTCAGTACGGCACAAGGCCCAGCTGCCAGCTCTCAGTGGTCTTTGAAGTTGGCTTTCCTTTTCTCCACAAATGCAGCCATTCCTTCTCTCCGGTCATTCTGGCAGGAAAAGGAAGAAGGGAGGTGACGTTTGCATCTTCCTATTGGGCCCCTCGGCTGACTGCCCGAATCTCCAAGGTGCCTACATCCTCCTCCTTGCCTGCTTTCCAGGCTCATCGACAGGACAGTGATTCTGCAGTGGACCACCTGCAGCCCATGAGAGATGGGATTCCCCACAGTGCTATGCTTGGGGCCAGGGGGTTGTATACCACCCAGGACACAGTCTCTCAGGAGCCATGACATGAGCACCATGTTCACAGCACCTCTGCATCTGGCAGGGTCTGAGTTGAGAATCTTTCACAGAGCTGTGGGGCAGCAACAGAACACACTATATGCATATGTCTACAGTCTTCCTTAGGGGCCCAAATCATTTAAAAATCTTTTTTTTTATTTTTAAGTGTGTGTTTGTGTATGTGTGTGCGTGTGTTTAAAGAAAACACTTAGCACTGGGCCTGTGGTGCAATGGATAATGCATCTGATGATTAGAAGATTCGTTAAAACACATACACACGAGCTTCTGATAAGAGGTGAACTGTAGCAAGCGTGGTGCCACACTCCTTCAATCTCAGCATTTAGGAGGCTAGGGCAGGCTGAGCTGTGTGAGTTCAAGGCAAGTCTGGTCTCAATAATGAGCTCCAGGCTAGCCAGGGCTACATAATGAGAACTTGTCTCAAAAACAAACAAACAAACAAACAAAATAAAATAATTAAGGGGGGTGGTTAGAGATGGTCCAGCAGCTAAAAGCACTTGCTACTCTTAATAGGAGCTGGGTTTGCTTCCCAACACTTATATGGTGGCTGACAACAGTATGTAACTTCAGTTCCAAGATATCCAGGGCCCTTTTCTGGTCTTTGTTGGCAACAGACATGCATGCATTATATTTACATACATGTAGGCAAAACACTTATACATATAGAATAAATAATATTTAGAGATGGTTTCTCTGTGTTGCATAGGTTGGTCTCAAACTCCTGGGCTCAAGCAATTCTCCTTGTCCTCTGGCTCCTAAGTTTTGGAACTACTGTGCCCCGCTATGAATTCCACTTTAAATACAGAAACTGCTGTTTAGTGATGTAACTCATGGGGCCTTTGTGCAGTAATAAATTCTCTGCAGCTTCTGCAACAGAAATGAACTTGAATCCCAAGCAGAATACTTGTTACTCACAGTGGCAAAGGTAGAATAGAAGAGTTTCTTCTCCAGCTTATTTCCTTCTGTTAAGGTCATCTCAAAGGCTGAAAAAGAAGCCCTGGAGTCACAAACTGAAGTGCTGAATGTGGGGGCACCCATGCTGGACTGACTGTGATCCACAGAAAGGGCTACAGGCTGTGTGGCCTCCATGCCGACTCAGCTCTCCCCACTTTTCAAGTGCACGGCCCATGCTGAGGTAGCCATGGAGACAAATCGCTCTCCCAGGTCTCCTAAACACCTTGGTAGTGGTCCAGGGGCCCCAGAAGGGAAAAGCACCAGAACTGAACAAAGGACAAACAGCAGAACCTGAGGTGGCTGATAAAACTGAGCACAGAAGCACAGTAAAGCATGAAAACCAGAAGAGGGCGGGGAGGCAGCCGGGACAGCACACTGCGGTGTGCGGAACACTGTCTGGTGGAACACTGATGTGGAAGACCTAGCTGTGTCTGTCAGCCACTGTGATCTTGCCAGAGCCCTCAGCTGCTCCTGCGTGCCACACACAGCTGGCTCTTTAAGTATCGACACATCTGATTATGGCCAGCAGCAACCCTGAGGGGCTGGGGTCCCCTCTGGAGGTAACAACAGCCTTTCTAAGTCACATCTTTTGTCCCCAAGGTGACTCTACATGTGACATTGAGCAGAAACACAGTGCCATTCCAAATGCTGAGATACATTATTACATTGAGACTCCATTCCT